AATCCCTCACCCAAGACAAGAAACTGAAGATCGATCTGTTGAAAAAATTAAAATCCGATCACCACAAACACATTCGTAAAAAAAAAAAAAAGCAATAACAACAACAAAAACAAACAAACAACACAAAGCCAGAATAAAGCAGTATTGGTAAACAAATTCCAGGCACATTCGACATTTATTTTTATTTTTCTTTTTGTGATAAAAACGTATTTGAGGAAATGGGGGAAAATGAAAACGATTAAGTGAAAGCATATGAAGCAGGCGTTTTGCTCTTTTTATGTTTCCAAAGGGATGAGCAGCCCACCTTAATTATCCAAAGATCTTTTTGAAGTACTAAATGTCGCGAAGGTTTCATCCTCTAAGCCTGGGTGCCAATTTAAAATGACTCAGATTGTGAAATAAAATTTAGCTCCCACATGAGCTTAGCAGCTAGTTATTGTGGCTGGAAAGGAAAACAATCATATTTTTTGAAACACAATTATCGAGACTAGACCAACCTGGAAAAGCTCCCGCCAAGCTTCCAGCAGAGCACGTTCAAAGTTTGCAAGTTCATACTCCGTTTTAAACCAAATAAACCAAAAAGACTCTGTAGCGGTAAATTCATTGCGTTCAAACTCCTAAAGGTGCAGAACAAAAATGCGATGGTGAATAGGATACCCAGCTAACTTAATTACACAAAGTGCTCAATCGACTGTGACAGTAACCAATCTCCATAGCACACAAGAACCTGCTCAAACAGGAGTTTCAATAACTTTTTTCCATAAGCGGCTGCCGATGGCGTAAACGGCACCTGTCCCCGGATAACCGGGAGAAAGGCGAAACCCAAGCACGAGAGCCTGCTCGCAGGCTCAACAGGCGGCAGTAAGAGGTATTATAGGCGGCAGTAGATCGCTGGTGACCGGCTTTTTTTGAAACCCCAGTTAAATTTCAGGTTTACCAAGCTTTGTTGCGTGTGGTCACGTGAACAGATAAACTATAGAAAAACTTAGCGAAATCAACAAACAACTTAGACAAAGCACACAGACAAATTCCAAAAAAATAAATGCTTCAAGATAAATTTTTCCACAATACATTGATCTTCGCAGAATAAACTTTTATTATCACCAATCTCTACAGAACGTTTTTCTTGTCATTTCGCTAATTCTGAAATCGTGGCTCGTTAAATAAAATCTGATGATAACACAAATAAAAGTTCAAAAATCTGCTTCAGGGCTTAAAATAAGATAACGTGTCGGGTAGTAGAAAACGGGAAGGATCGACTAACAAGTGACTTTGGCGAACCTACCAAAATACAATAGTTCCTGACATCGTTGTCTACAAATAGTCTGGTCACACTTTGCACAGAACATTCACTAAGCAGCTGAAACGTTTCGTCTCCGGTTGGATTAGGGAGGCACGCTAAAATCTTTAAAGAGAAGTCAAATTATGTATTATTTTGAATAAGTCCAAGAAATTTTCCATGATAGGTGATTCCCTTTAAAGGAGAATTGCCACAGAAATCATTAAATTTTCAAATTCCGTCATTAAAAGGCTGGTGAAACTACGTGTGCTCGTTAGTTAAATATCGAAATTAACTTCAAAGGAGCTTAGGAGCAAGACTTTCTAACGTCAAAAGTAAACTGAACGGTCAGGTTGTCAAGCAAAACTCAAACTGTCGAAATACGCACCATGTTTTAAGCACATCTGAAAGCAATTTAGGAAACGGTACATGCCTCTTTGGAATGTCAAAACGCGGCAAGTGTCATTACTCTGAA